ATATTGTCATAGAGAAAAAGAACTCTTAATTATAAAAAGTTAACCATTTGTAAAATTTTTTGTTCTAATGGCTTCTACTAACCATGGAAAACAATCTGACTTAATAATAATATAAAGTCCAATTCCAATAAATACAATAGGTACAATATAATGAGCATATTTTTGTGCAAGAGATAAAATTGGTCGAAAATTAATAAAGAAATAACAAAATATAAGCCAAATCAATACCATAGCACAATATATAGCAATATAAACACCAATTTGCCATTTTGTTGCTTGAGCAAATAATGGTGTATAAATAGCAATATTATCACCACTATTTGCTAAAGTAATACTTGCAATTTTTAATATTTGAAGATTAAAACAATAACTTAAAAGTTTAAGAATTTTTTGTTTAAAGTTCATAGTTGAGGATGACTCAATGATATCAGGTTGTTGTTGTTGTTGTTGTCGTGTTGTAAATTCGAAAATAATTTGTTCATTAAGATCATTTCGATAACGAATTGTTTCAAGTTCAATTGTTGAAATATTATCATTTGGAACAACATCATTGATATTAATAGTCGTTTTTTTATATTGTTCAATGATTATTTCAATAAGACCTTTTATACCAAGAATAATTGGTAAAAATCCAAGAAATCCAAGCATTTTAGCAGGTAGTGCATATGAAACAGCGTAACCAATAAGACTAACTCCTAACAATATAAAAAATCCCAAATATTGACCAATGAAAATATGATGAACTTTAAGTAATGAATTAGATATTGTTGCTTCTGTAAAAAAATTCATTAAGATAACAAGATCATCAATATTCGTAGCTATGTAAGAAATAAATACTGTTCCAATAAATTCCCCAACACTTTTCTCATTATTACTCATATTGTTCTTTTAAATATGAGAGTGTACAACTTGACTTGATTTTGATTATAGTAACTGAAAATTTCAATCAACTGTCAATATAACACTGAAAAATAAAATCAACAATTTTTCACTTAACATTTATTAATATTAACCTAAAATTGAACTAAATTCTTTTAGGAGGGAAATCATAGAATTACCGAGTATGCGAAACATTCGATAATTTTTTTTAGTGTATTCAATTCATCGATATCTGAATCCCAAACTCTCTATTTTGAAAGTTAGTCGATAACGACTTTTTACTATTATTATATGATTATGAGAAACTAATCGGCAAAAAAAAATATTCTCTAAAAGTTGCAGTTGTTCTCGTCTCATATCATATTGTGTTCATCGACTTAATTTTTAATAGGGGCCAACATGGATGAAAAATGACGCTTTCGATCGGTCGAAAATGTTCATTTGATATAAATGATCGCCTGTAGAGATTCAGAATTAGAAAGTTCCAAGGTGAATTTTAAATTTTATGCAACTTTTTATTCTCTACAAAATGATACCTTCGAGGTGTAACCGCGTTCACATCTTTCCCTTGCATGATGATTTTTCAATAGAAAAAAAAAAAAACATTTTTAGTGATTTCGATTGCCGCGACACAATTTTAAAGCAAAACAAATAAGACATTTCGAATCACCGTTACAAACTACATTGAGGCAAATACTTTCATCCATGCTGGCCTTATAAAACTTCAGTCGATAAACAATGTATTAGATTAAAATGGCTTATTTAGCTTAGTTTTTGATTCTCTATTTTTTAGTATAATTTATAAAAAATTTCAATGACTCATTGAGACAACTAAAAAATTATAACTTCTGCAGGATATTTTTTTCTGTTTTTTCTTATAAGTATATAATAGTGATAAAAAGCCGATATTGACTAACCTTTGGAAAAAAGGGTTTTAGGTTCAGATATTAATGCACTGTATTCACAAAAAAAAAGTTTGTTGTTGAGCTTCTCGTATACTCGATGGTCTCATTATTCATTTTATTCAAATCTTCACGAACTTAATGGTTATTTTTATAGAAACTAAAGTTTTCAAGTAATGAAATTTTTCTCAAAAGATATTCATTCTGTTAATTAACATTATTAATGCATTGCATGCAAATGTTAAAGGAATGAGGAAATAAAAGTTATTATTGAAATTTGTTTTTCAATCAGAAATGAAGCATCGTTTATTTATTTCTGTTTTGTAGATATTTACCTGTTTTGAAAATGTTTGACGATTGAATCATAGGTGAAAGTAATTAGTTGTTTGTATTGCAATAAAAGAGAAGAGAACTGCAAATTGTCGATTGATTGGTCCAAATAAAACACAAAATAACTTTGATTAATTTCTGCTTGAATAACAAAAAATATTGTGTGCTTTTAATTATTCAGATAGAAAGGCAAGACATAAGTCAAGTACGAAACGAATAAAATACAATCATTGATCGACTTTGTTCTGTCATACTGTTGGGACATATTCAATAGTGTTCATTGTTGATAAGACTATTACAATATGTTGTTCATAAGTTAATAAAAGAATTTTTTTGTTTTTAATGATATTTATATTCAATGAGTTTATTAACGACTGAAGCAATTACTTAGGTTTGGCCAAAAGTTCTAATAACCTTACTAGCAATTATGTAAACCATGATTAATATCAAAAGAGTCTGTTATTTGAATAAGGAGTAGAATGCCTTGTCTATAATATATATATATAGTATCCACATAATAAATCTCTTTTGGATTTACTTCTAATATTCTTTCAGATAAAACCCAATTCCAAAAAGAAAATTCAAGAAAAATTTACAATCATATTGTAATCTAACCCTCCATCACATCGAACAGTTGCAAGATGAACAATGCACTTGGCAAAGGAAGAGAAGATGTCAATGATGGCTTTCGATCTGAGCTGCGGGTTTGCGTGTGCGTATGAGTGGAGATCTTCTCTTGACCCACATCCTCATCCTCCATAGCTTTTGATATATACTGAAGTCTCATGAAGCCTTCTGAAGTCTGAAAGTCAGCTGTTTCTTCCTCGAGTCGGATACTCGATTTTCAGACTGTTTAACAACCATTATCAACTGTGTATGACATGATGATTTACGATTGTAATAATACACTTACTAAACGTCAATTTACAGCTATTTACGACCGCAAAATGTATGAAACAATAGTACGCAGTACTGGTTTTGACCGTGTCAGCAACTGTAATCATCGTTCTAATTAGTGTCAAACGGTGTTCGTACATGTGCATCATATTCAAGCCTAATTCCCTTTATAATGTCCCCGTGCATGACACCTGTAGACAGACTACATATTTGTCCATGTATGGTCGTTTAGGACGACGGAGCATTCACTTGAGTAATTTTATCATGATCGTCAGATAAGAGCAGTACTTGTTTTTGATGCATAAAGATGGAACTAGTCGAGACCTCTCTTTTTTTCCGAACAAACAAAGATTTCTTAGTGAGCTGTTTTCTAACTAATAAAAGGTTCCTGAGAATAAATTTTGGGATTGTGGCAAGACTATTTTCACCTTCAGACAAACCAAACGCAGAATTCTTTTTTTCAATCGATACTCAGCGACTGTTTATTTGAAGAAAACAAAAGAGAGACATAATATTTTTGATGAATAATTGTACATAAAAATCTTTTGTTTCTTCAAAGTGGACATTCTGTGTAAGAGAAAGTTTCTCGTCTGAACTCTGTTGAAATTGAACTTATATTAGATAGCCATTTGTTTACAAGATATTGCACCAGCTAATAGAATCCAGCGTATTGATCACTAAAGTGTCAAAAGCGTCCCCCTAAAACATAATAAATGAACAAAACCAATTGTCATGAAAACATTATCATTCCCGCTATGAATTTCATCCACAAATTTTTCTTTGTTGAGAACACACTGATTGACTTAAATGTGAAAGCTAGATTACAAACTTCTTAAAGAGACAAATGTAAAAGCAAAACAGAAAATCTAACCGAGAATCTGACCTGTTTCTCTTCACCATCTCCCATCGACAACTGAATGGACTCACTACAAATTTTGCAAGTGAATTTGTTGATATTCAGACGGCTTGCATTTCTTTGAATCCGTTCGAAGCTGATCCCGTACGTATAATAGTAGCATTCGGAAAATTTAATGCTTTCAAGATATTCAAATTGATCTATAACATCAATCATCAGGCTTTCGTCGGCAGCCTGAACTTCTAGATGTTCAACATACGATAGTCCAGGATAGAGCTCCTTGTGAATCCCCATTTCGAAGTCGGCCGTCACTTTTAAAGATCGGATATGCGAAGGTAGAATGAAGGATTGGTAAAATATTGATATTCTAAGCTCGTGAAGGCGGGGACAATGCTGAAGAAGATTGTGGAGTTCCTGTGCAGATAGAGTACGACAAGACGAAATATCGAGTGTTCTGATTTGACTAAGATCAACGACTGAGGAGAGCATCTCAATGGATGGACATGTACTGTCCATGAGTTGAACACATTTTACTTTATTAAAGCGTTCAACAGAAGGCATGTTAATTAAATCGGTAACTTTGAATGCTAGATATTCGATTGTGCTACCGTAAAAAATGTGACGATGAATATCGATCGGTGCGGTTGACAATGGTGGGTATTTATAGGCAAATCTTGAATACTGGACGCAACGTGGCCGAAAATGAGGTACTGAATATACGGTTAAGATATTGCTATAGGTGCTCTCTTGTGGACATGCAACAAACCAACGCTTCTGTTCGAGCCAAAAATTAGAAGCAAATGAGTTAAGTATTGAACTTATGTCTGGATGACAATTAATGTTGTCTGAAACATCAAATTTGAAATCAAATTGGACGAGACCTAATGCCGTGGCGAATTGTTCCCATCGGGTCCCATCTAATAAATCGAGTAAACCTTGTGCCTGAACTATAAGATGTGTCAATGAGTGAAGTCTTGTAAGACATTGTGTGAGTAAATCGAATGATACAACACAGCCTAAAATCAAACAAACAAGACATTCGTATTGTAATTATTGGTGCATCGATTACGATCAAAAGATTGAAACGTAAGACAGAAAAATAGTTGTCCAAAATCTAGTAGTAATTATGTCCTACTTTTATCATCATTTTCAATGCAAACATTGAGATGAGTGATGGGCGATCTGAGACGCTGAGTGATCCAGTCGAAATTGATCATAGAGCATAAGCCAATGGTCAAATGAGACAGTGCATAGAATGAAGTATGAATAGATTGAAATTCATCGATTCGATCTACTTTCAAGTGATTTAAAAACTTTGCTTGTCTAGCCAGCGTTCGACCGATGAGACCATTAATTCTCTCGTTCGTATCAGAACATAAAAAAGAGAGACATTCAACAGATAATGGCAATTTGATTGGAAAAGTATCTGTACCAAGGCATATCATTGTTTTCAGACGAACGAACTGTTTTTCAAAACATCGAAAATGTTGAAGAAAAAGTTGCCCTAGACTAGGTGTTGTACAATCACAAAGAACAAGGGAAATGACTTGTTCTGGTTGAATATGACGACAAATGAAATCGAATTTTAATCGAGAGATCCATCGAAAGTCAAGATGAAGTGGGTACGTGCTAATAATAGCGTTCAGATGACGGTTGCAACCGCTGAAAGCTCGTAACAGATCATACAGTGACAAATGATCAAAAATTTCGAATAAGAGTTCTATAGGCAAAGATTCGAAACACCAACCAATCGTATGACTTCTCGATAATGATCTTTTCTGTGAATATTTTGTCACCATCATACTTAGAGTAGGTATGCATAGAAATAAAATATGAAACCAACATGAGTGTCTTCTTATCGTAGAAATGTCGCAAAAGCAAATAAAAGATAAGACACAAAATTAAAGTCCTGTGCGATAAACTTTTCAATGCCTCATGTTTTCTTTGAACCACATTGGAAATCCTTAATGACATTAAATCAAGATCTAGTTGAAAGGACTCATTAGATCAGACATATAAACACAACTTATTGAGAAAGTTTCTTTATGATGGTTTTGTAAGATAAGAAAATTATGGCATCGCACAACATTTGGGTGTGTGCTGGTTTTCGGTTCTTTCACACTGATATGGTGGGTGTGGATGCGATTTGTTCTTTAAGTGCACCCACATCCACACCCTTATAGTTATGAGCTGTGAGATATCCATTTCAAATGAATAACTAACTCATATATTCAACAAAGTCAACGTGAATGTACTATCTGAAGCAAATTTTAAAAAAGTAATATTTTACAATAACATATTTTTAAATATACAATCGATCAATAGGCTACTTTGAACTTAAGTTTTCTTATGTTAAGCTTATGCATATGTGTTAGCCAAACTCAAAATTAAACTTCCTGTTATATTAAATATTTATTTGTCCGTGCGATATCGGTAGTTTTTTAGCGTGAATTGTTGAATTCTATGTCATGCACATATTCATGTTATTATCAAAATCTGAATGAAAAAGAGGCAAACATAGGGTGCACATTGATTAACCTAGATCAGCAAGAATAACTTGTACACGCTTCTCCTTTAAAATACTGAAGATTGCACCCGTGCATACAACGACAAGCAGTTAAATGATAAGTAAATGCATGCATAACCATGCTCGAGTTTTGAATTTTTCAGCGTTTAGAAAACTCTTTTTTTCGTACTTAAATCCAATAAAAATATCATTTTGTACGCACAAACATTTGTCTAGAAACCAAAGTCAATTCAAAATTGTATAAAAACGCAAAGTTTTAAGAGTTACCAAATGTGCGTATGAAGAAACGATCAAAGCGTTTATTTAACAAGCGATAATACGATTATCAATTATCCCCGTAAATGAACGTGAACACGCTGGCAAACGTAACCTTTTGAGCATTTACACATCCATATATACTCGATAAGAGTACCTTTGTACTCACTCACGCTCAGAACTTATGTTTCCTAATGTTTTCACAGCCAATTATTTCCACACGCGCTTGAACACTTGGAAAAGAATAATTCGAAAAATTGGACCAGATTTTTTAGACAATCTAATATTCTATGCTTTTAAGTAAATTATAAATTATATGAATTAGACCATTATTCAAGAGAGATGACTCAAAAGAGTGCTAGACGGACGTCCACTAAATAAATCCAAAAATGAGTATTGAAGTATTATTTTAGATGTGATACGAATAAAGTCTGGAATAATTTTCTCTAAACAGGAACCGAGATCAAACAACTTGGTTCTGTGCATCTCTAGTTACGGTCTCTGGGAGAAGGAGGTATTGCAAATTTCTACCTTGTATAGTAAAACACTCTTTTTGAATCGTATTTCAAAAAAATGAAATAAATATATTGTTTTCTATTCATGCCATATGCATAAATAAAGAATGTAAAATAAGTTCTGATCCCCTCATGCAATGTTTTGTTTCTTATATCTTCTTAGAGTGGAAAAAGCTAATATTTGCAGTATATATACTACATAGATGTTTAGATCCACTCTATGCTAGAATTTCAGCTTTCTACACATTATCATTACAGAGACATAAGTATTACTAAAATAATAAGAATTTTTGAATTATAATTGGAACAACTATCAATGAGAAAATTTGTATTCATTCCATCAAGGATTTTAATTGAAGAAGCAGCATCAACAATATAATAAGTATTTAAAAATACTGGTTTCATACTAATCTTGTATAACATAATCAAGATAGTAAACACAAGACAACGATTGTGAAGAATACTGTTGATTCTTTATTTGATGAACTTATTGATCCTCAGATAACTGATGCAAAATTAGCTGATATATGGCCAATAAATAATGTATGAGATGCAGTTAAAGAAAGATTTAGAGGGGAAAATTTTGATAATGAATTAGAATGGGAAAACGAAGTAGTTTAGTAATGGAGAACTTACACTGCTGACAAATGATGGAAAGAATACCGAATTGAATGAAGCTAGTCATAGATCAAAATGGAGAACAAATACATAATCATTAATGAATAATTTTTTATGAATTCTTTAAAAGAAATTTCAATTTGTAATTCTCTTTTCACGCAGTACTTTTTATGTAACATTATAAGTAAGTATTAAAAAGACTCAAGTAATTATGTATTTCTACAAATATTTCGATTTTTTTTCGATTTTGGTAATGCTTGTATATCAGTAAAAATAAAACGTAGAAAGCTAATATTGTAGCATATAGCAAATCTAGATATGCAGCATATATATACTGTAAATTTCCACCTTTTCCACTTTAGGAAGATGTATGAAAAAATATATTGCATGAGAGAATCAGAACTTATTTTACACTCTTTATTTCTTATAAATAAACTTCAATGCAGTTGATTTGTATTAAAATAATGGAAATTTTCGAAAATGATAAAAATTCGATATTTTCCTCAACTGTCTGTTTCTGAAAAAATTTTGATAACTAGATGTAGAATCAAATATTGACGGCAACATATAAATAAATGAACCTAGGCCTAATTGCTCTAATACACTAATTGATTAATCTAAATGGGTTTTATTCTGTGTTGACATTAATGGAAAAATAAAAGTCTTTCTAAAATTAAGAGACTTCTGAAATAATGCGAAGATTTTTCGCAAAACAAGGTAGTAGGACTTGAAGCTGTTTTATGATAAACTATATATGTTCGCTAAAGAAACACTTCAACATATCCTATGAAAAAAAATGAATTTCGATTTCTTTTGAAGCATCGGGAGTTTTGAAAGGAAGAGTTCGTTCAAAATCCATTGATTAACAATTGGAAATTTTATGTTTTTATAGAAATAAAATCAAAAAGTAATATGATATCATTTAAGTACATCATCATTTATACAAATAGCGCATGACTTGTTTTTTACAATTATTGATAGAAGGTCATGGCGATTGAATGACTGCACTTTAGTAATACTAATAGTCCAATATTGTTATTCATTATTTATGTTGCTTTCATGCAAAATTTCATTGTGTAATACCTTATCATACTCATTCGTACTTTCAATCAATTCCTGATAAAAAACCTCGACATAAGTAATGTTTTCTATGTCTGTTACGCTTGATTTACCTTTGCTCACCGTTTTATTGACTATAAATACAATGAATATATTCACATATTTTTATTTGATTATTTAACAAAGTATATTATTATGCACTCTGTCTTTAATATTGGAATTTTGCTATTCTTGATAATTGGTATTACCCAGATTCAAGGAGGTAATATTTTTCAGATTAAATCTTTTTCTTGATGATTTTAATTTGTTTTTCTTTTCAATTCTACGTTTTATCAACTTTATTAAAGCAAAGATTCGTCCTCAATGTGGTTTAAATGAAATATATATATGTGGAAAACCTTGTATTGAAACCTGTGATTATAAACCACTAACTTGCAATAAAAATTGTATATATGGTTGCTTTTGCAATGCAACATATGTTCGAAAGTCTAATGCAACTGGTAGTCCTTGTATTCTAAAGAGCCAATGTACCAATAATACAGTATTATTCGGTTGTGGTGCAAACGAAGTATATACAGATTGTGGTTCACCATGTCCACCAAGTTGTACGGATCTTTATTATCCACAAAAACGCAAATCCTGCACTATAGAATGTGTTCGTGGTTGCTTTTGCCAACAAGGCTTATATCGTGCAGAAAATGGTACATGTGTCAGACCAGAAGAATGTTGTCAAGGTCAAAATGAACAATTTACAATTTGTGGCACACCTTGTCCTGCAAGATGTAATTATACGCCCGGATTGTGTGCAACAGTATGTGTTGAAGGCTGTTTCTGCAACCCGAATTATGTTCGTAGAGATAACAGTACCAACAGCCCTTGTATCACATCAGGTGAATGTTAGAAAGAATGGCATTGAACAACAAAAATTTCTATTTTTTGTGTGAATATTATTACATCTTTCATATTAAAAAAAACAGATGAACTATTATTTTCTTTTTATTCGAATTCTTACATTACAAAAATTAATTGTTTTACTATTTTATTGATAACAGTGTTTTTTTTTGTTGTTGTTAATTGTCATTAACACATGACGGTAACATGTAATTCTATCCAAAGAAAGAAAACTATTTTATTTTGATTATAGTTCTTGATTTATTTATATTTTTCTTCAATCTTCTAATCTAAATCATAAAAATTGAAATATTTCATTTTTATTGTTTTCAAATAAAGTTAATCATTATCGTACAAATACTTTTGATAGTTCAAGTATACATTGACTGTTTGTAAAATAGTTGAAAAGAAGAGCGAAATAAATTGTAAATTATACATTCTCTATCACTCATCAATCCTCATCAGTCTATTGTCTATGTGTACTTTTCTTTCTTCTTTCTCTTTTTTTTTCTATTTTGAATCGAGTAGTCATTTAAAACAAATATTACATTCCGTTTATACATATTAAATATGGTTTTGTCTGCTCGTATCAGTTTATCATTAATCTTATTTCTAACAGTTTTTGCTATTCAAACACATAGTATTTATATTTGGTATTCATTTTTGTATTATTGAAATTATGATCTTTTAGGATTTGTATTCGGACGAATGTGTTTAGGTGCTCATCAAGAATATCAAATGTGTGGTTCAGCTTGTCCTCTTACATGTGTTGATGTAAGACATGTAAGATATTTCAAACCATGTACACATCAATGTGTCGAAGGTTGTTTTTGTAAACATGGTTATGTTCGAAGATCTCATTCAAAAAGTCAATGTATTCCTGATTGGCGATGTTAACTAAGTTTAATTTTCTTTAAACACAATTATATATTCAATAGAAAAGACTTATTATTTACTAAAATATCTTTCTCAATCAATTTTTTCTATTAAAAGTATATTGAATAAATATTAAGAAAGACTTTGGAACTGTTAGGTCTATGTAAAACACAATGGGGAAAAGCATACTTCTGTAGTTGTGAAGTACGAAAGAAGTACGCTTTTCCTCTTGATTTTTTTGCTCATAAATAGAACGAAAGTATTTTATTATTGAGCAATGCCAAAAGTTCTGTTCTCAAGTAGAGGTCGACAAAATCAATTGTAGTTTAGATCTGAGGAACTGTTCAAACAGTTCTTTTGAAAGGATTTAATCTGTTTCAACAGTTCAGTTCCAAGTGCTGCGCTGTTAGAAAACTATTGGTTCTGTTTTAGGAATGGTACTTTCGGGTATAAAAATCTTGGTTCTCTTTTTTGGAATGGCAGTTCTGGGTATACAAGGACTTTGCTCAGTACGACAACAAAGGTTTTTTTACACCCGAAAGTGTCATTCCAAAAAACAGAACATTTTTGTTCTGGTTTGAGAACAGAAGTACCGAGAAGTAAAGCAAGCGTTAGAAATTTTCAGAACATTCCAGAATCTTCGAAATTTACATGACTGAAATACGGTTTTGATGTTGTAAATGGTGCAGCTACTGATTTTTGCGAAAGTAAACAATAATATAATAGATATCAAGGATGATCTTTGAGTTGTCACAATTATTATATGGCCAACCAAAAAGCACAAAAAGATTAAGTTCGAATTTTCAGGAATAATCAATATCAGTCTTTCCGAGTTCATCGAGATACATAATTGATCGTTTAGGTCTGCTATAAGTATAGCAAATGTGTACCGAAGGCTTTTTTGTTCATGCAATCAATAGTTAGACTCATAATTCTAAATTAAGAAGATAAAATTTCTGTTGGATATGTAGAAATAAAGAGAGAACATTTGCTGACAACCAATTAGTGGTAAATAGGAACTATAGCCTTTTAGATATTTCAAACTTTGCATATTTTATTTTAGTATAATGAAACCAAAGAAGACATATGAGTGTCACATTTCAGTCGAGAACAGACTTTGCTGCATTAGCAACAAATAATAAAAGAAAAAAAAACGAAGTTCAAAATTTTTCTTCATAAAATCGAAATCGAAAAGTTGCACAATGATTTTTAATTGCTTTTGCCATTGTTGGTGGTCCACAAAAGAAAACACTAACATCATTAGCTGTTGAAGCATTTTCACCCGATATTAATTCATTAAATAGATCTTTCCATTGCGGTCGACCTAAATGTGTTTTAGATTTTAAACTTGTAAAAATATCTTGTCCAGCTATTTGTGCCCAAATTTTTGTAATAAGATCTAATGGTACATTACCAATATTTTCATCATGTTTTATTTCTGTAAAGTATAAATGTATGTCAAGAAAACGTTCTGCATTAGAATTTGATGCTAAATAATATTCTTGTTCTTGTTCAAATTGACGAAGAAGATTAAGAAACCATTCGAAATTTTTATAATCACGATTTACCCAAATAAAATCAACTTTTTTTAAACGACGATTTCTTACAAGACCTTTAGAACTATAATTAATACCATTACAATGTTTACAAACAACATATGATGAACGAAATTGCGCCATAAGACTTGACAAGATTGATGCATATGGCGTTATACCAATACCACCACCAATTAATACAACATGTTTACAATCAAATATATAACGTGCACACGATGAATAAGGTCCTTTAATAAAAACAGGTTCTCGTTTTCTAATTTTGACATGAGATTGTGTTATAGCACTTCCATTTTCATCATTATCATCAGCATCGTGAATATGATTTTGTTCCATATTTTGAAGATTAATAACTGATTCTTCTGGATGAATATCAGCACGATAAATTTTAATTTGATTTTCTTGAGCATCATTTTCCGACATTTCTTTAAAACGTTGATAGACTTGTTTGGTCCAATTACCAACTGCTTGAATATGCACACAAAGATAATCTGTTTGTTCTGGAGCACTACTAATTGTAAATGGATGAAACTCATAAAGAGCAACACGTGGTAAATTAATGCTTATATAATCACCAGGTTTAAAACTAAAAAAAAACATCAAATTAACAAGAAGAATTCAAAAAATTAGTGCGAAAAAAATAAATCAGAACGTTGAATAACTTATCGTCGATATCATATCTAGAGGTGTAAGCCGATGCATTTGTCGGCGATAACTGAAATTTTTCAATAAGTTCTTTAAAAATTTTCTTAATTTTGAAATGAAACGCAGAGAGAGAGAGAGAGAGAGAGAGAGATCTATTTTAATTCTTTTCCAAGTTTCTGTTACGAACTACATTGTATTGGAGTTTTAAAGGATTAAGTAAACATTGATGAAAAAATGTGTCACAGAATAGATCGAATCAAACAGTTTTCATATGATTAATAACACAGAGATTCCGTTAACGACTTTTTTTTTCTTATTACTTTTATCGATAATTTCTTATTGTATCACTATTATTTTACTGTTTCTTAATGTTATTAAGTCTTGTCCAAATAAAAATATAACACATTTATATCCGAGATGTACTATCACCGAAACAAAGAGATACGAATGACGCGATGGATAGAGCAGCAGGGCCAAAATAATGGTGGAGACAGTCATAGTCAGAAAGTCTTTTTTGGTGAGCAATACCGTTGTCTGCGCTCATTTTACTCACCGAGGTACTGAGTAGCATGATCGACTGGTAACTGCACCCAGCGGTAACTGAGGAGATATTTTTCTCAAAGTTATAATAGTATAATATTTCTTTATAAATACTGTTTCATTTTTGATCACTCACATATGAACGACAATATAAAGTTGAAAATATCGCGAAAGAATATTTAATCAGACATAGAAACGAAGTAATAAAATGAACGATACCTCATAAACAACGAGTCTGTCAATGATTGAATATCTTCTCTTAACTTTCTGTATTGAAGAATATACATCTCTGATTCATACTATTTATGAGAATAAAGCACAAAAATCTTGCTAGATTATCCAAGTCATTGACACTAGACTATAATGAAAAGCATCAGAATTGGATAGTGATAAGAGCAAAATTCTTTGCAGATCTGAAATTTCTTCTCTCATTAGTCAAGAATAATCTTACATTGAACATATAGAAAAAGACTCTTAACGAAAATTTGTGCATCAAACACATCTGGAATTATCGTTGAAAGTTTTTCACTTGACACATATTCAATAAAGATTTTATAGAGTAGAATCTCTTCTCTGTAATAGAAACCTTCAAGACTTTTAATACGAGAAGGATTAACAGAATATGAGAATTTAAATCGATTTGAAACAATGAATTCATTTTTGGTCTTGAAATAGCAGTTATTTTTTATTTTGAACTTTATAAAGAGCAACTTTATTTTTTATAATTCTGATCTTTTTCAACGTTCTAAAAGAAGAATTTCTCATGTCTCAGTGCAAACAACTTTGTCCTTTCCAGATGAATATCTTGTTAGAATTGAATGAATTTTTTCAAGTAAAAGTAATGATAATGGACCAACAATCCATTTCTAAAAATTATATAATTCTAACTTAATCGAAAATATCATATTAAAAAATTTACCCAAAAATTTTCTGCATGAATAATAAGAAAAACAAAAAATGGTAAATAAAGTAAATGTGTCCAATAGAAGATCTAAAACAAAACAAAAATCAACTAAACTAACAAAATAAAAAAATCAAATTTAATTACTTGAAAATGACCACCACGTCGAATCCATTTTACACATATGTGGTTTATAATCATTTCTTTCTCTATTAATATATAGCGACTCAGTCATATGAAAAAGAGCGAAGAAATGTATTCTAAGATATATAGAATAAAACAATTTCTCTGTGATTATCAATAACAACTACATAGTGTTTTACATTTTTATCTCACAGGACTTGCGCTAACAGATTTTGCACGATAATTATATCGAACTTTGATAAACCTTCATTATCTGCTTCAATTTAGACATGATTTTCTATCGTGTATAATATACTTTGACACGTACAAGTACATAGGTACTAGAATAGTTGATAGAAAATTGTCCTTGTTAGGAAGAAACATCGTGAAAAAATGATGCAGAATGTGAAATTACATAATATCTTT